GCACAATATGATTTCAGGGAGAACCAGCCCCATGCGCTTCCCGATATGATACTTTTGGAACCCCCAGCAGCCCCCCCCCCCCCCCCCCCTGCCCTGGGGGACGATCGCTTTGGGCTTTCACCCAACTGCCTGTATTAGTATTCGGACTCGGACTCGGGCTTGAACTCGGACTCGGACTCGGTCTCGGTCCCGGTTTCGGACTCGGACTCAGTCTCGGTCTCGGTCTCGGTCTCGGCCTCGGCCTCGGTCTCGATTTCGGGTCCATCTCGGACTCCATCTCGGGTCCATCTCGGACTCCATCTCGGGTCCATCTCGAACTCCATCTCGGGTCCACCTCGGACTCCATCTCGGGTCCATCTCGGGTCCATCTCGGGTCCATCTCAGACTCCATGTCGGACTCCATCTCGGGTCCATCTCGGACTCCACCTCGGACTCCATCTCGGACTCCATCTCGGGTCCATCTCGGGCTCCACTTCGGACTCCATCTCGGACTCCGTCTCGGGTCCGTCTCGGACTCCACCTCGGACTCCATCTCGGACTCCATCTCGGGTCCATCTCGGGTCCATCTCGGACTCCACTTCGGACTCCATCTCAGACGGGTCCGTCTCGGACTCCACTTCGGACTCCAACTCGGGTCCGTCTCGGACTCCACTTTGGACTCCAACTCGCGTCCATCTCGGACACTTCCACGTGTCATGTGTTGGTCCTTTTTGGGTCCCTTTTTGGAGCCTCGCTTATTGTTTGCTTTGTGCTCATTCCTCGAGCACTTCGATGGGAGTTCCACTCCCGCTCTTGACTTTTCAAGTCGGAGCTTTTGGTCCAAACGTGTTACGCTCGTTTGGCTCTTGCTTCGGCCACTACCACGTGGCACCCTTCCGGCTCCACTTTGGGGCCTGGGGATTTTGTGTCTCACAACTCCACCACCCATAGACGAAGTTCGATGTCCTCATCGAACGGTAAACCATTTTGTAAAGTAACACTCGCATGTGTTACCATTTCCATCCTTGGCACTCAGCCAACATCTGTCTATGGTTTGACATTGAAGGCTCACCATGCCTTATCCATTCTCTAAGGAGCATAGTCCCTCCAACATAGAGACTCATTCGGCCACCTGGGGTGGTTTGCTCCCTTTTATTGGGTCAGTTTTCGCTAAACCTGTTAGAGACACCTTCTCTAACTCAATTCCACTACTCATTCTTGAGTAGTCTCATATTCCATCGACATAACCTTTGCACTTTGGAACTTTTAATTTTGACTTCTCAGAGTCAATTTCCTAGATGTCTCCAACACCTTGCATTGCACATATTGTGCAACTCCACTTCCTCATCCTAGGAAGTTCTCTACTCGAAGGCAACATCATCCTCTCTTTGAGTTCGTGCCACCTTTGGCACTAAGTTCCAGTTATCATAATTTGGGCTAGGGTTGTCCACGTCCCTATCATTTGGCTACCTTACCGCTCCCCCCTTGGAGCTTCCGCTTTCGCCAAACCGGAGCAATTGGGAATCCATCCTTGGAAAATATTGCCTTTCCCACGATCCGTTAACCCCCAATACATTAGTGTTCTCGGCCTAACTTTGCATTTGGATTCTTTCCCCTGATTCCCATGGCTCTTTCTTAGCCACTAGTCTTTTGCTCCTATCCTTGATTGTTGCACCCAGCAACATAGGATCGCTACCTCCATTTTCGAGGTATCCTTTCGGTTCCATAGCAAAGTCTCTTCTTTGCCAAGTCCGGAGGGTGTTCACCCCTAGTATGTCTCTTTAGCATCTTCTGCTATGGGCTCTATCCACGGCCCGACTTTGTGACCCTCCCCTGGGTCTCTTATAGAGACTACTTTCATTGGACTCACTATGTCATCGCATCGACATATCTCATTTCCCTTAGGTGTCCTTCTCACTTGGTCACTTTGACCAAGCCACACCATCATTAATGGTTCCAATCAACACTTTGAACTTGGAACTTTATTCCTTAACCTCACAAGGACCTTGTCCTTGTTTCGGCCATAAAATCACCCAGTGATCTAACCTTGGCACTTTAACAGGTTTGCTAATAGGTATTAGGTCTTCCAGACCTTTAAGTTGTTCACCATGACCCGGCATCCCCCACACTTGGCGGTGCACCCAAGCCAGCCCATCCGGCCAAGGGTCCATGGCAATTGAGACTGGGTGTCCCCATCTCATTCACCCCGTCCTTGGTGCCACTTGCACCAAAGCGTTCAAGTTAGATATGCCGAGCTTTCACACTAAGCAATCTAACCATGCATCACGACTCCGAGGCATCCCTCGCTTGGTGCTGTGCCCAAACCAGTCTCCCCACTAAGAGTCCATGACCACCAAAATATGAGTGTCCTCACATTCCAAACCATCACCACGCCCTAGTCAATTAGGACTCGAACCCAAGCACTAGAGGGTCGGGACTCGAACCCAACCTCCGTATATGCATCTACGGACGGCATCACACCGGATGCCTGGCATGACTCCCCACGCCGGTGCACCAACTTATATTTAAAGCGCGCTACAGATCACAACTTAGGAACCTAGTTCCCCCGCACTGCCAAGTCCTCTCACTTGACAAGTTTGTGATCATGCATGGACTCCTCCATGCTTGGCCCCACGGCCCACCTTTTTTGAAGTTATCACCTTCAACTAGGGTATTTGTTCCCCTGACTTGCCAATCTCGCTTGGCAAGTCCTCTGACCACTATAACATGGTTTTTGCACAAGCGTGAAAGTCCTTGACTATCAACTTTCGTTCAAAGCCCTCTCTTTGAACACTCGGGAACTACTTCCCTAACCTTGACAGCCTTGCCTCATGGCAAGCTTCAAGACCACACTTCTGTTGCGCCACTCTGATTTCGCGCGTTCTATGAACCATTTACACTTGGCCTTTCTAGGTACTAAACTACCTAGAATCGTCTTTGGGAACCTTGAAGGAACTCTGTCCCTTAGCTTGCTAAGGCCTCCCTTTTTGCAAGCTTTCCAATTGCCACATAGTCTAACATGGACAATTCCATATTTTAGACTCTCCATGGCATCACGGTTGCTAGCGGCAACACCCTCGAGCCCCCACTTGATTCTCCACTCCCAGCTGGCATAACCAACCTTGGTTATGCCCTTCAATTCCTATAGTTCGGTTCTATCCCCTTACTTCTTGCTTTTGGCTTCACACCTTTCCTTCGGTCATTCTCCTCTAGACCAGGAGGATAGCTTTGCACTTTCTATCATGCCTTAACAAGTATTCTTAGGGATGAACCTACCCAATAGCCCAGGGAGTGGTTCCTCAATCCGGGTATGCTCACCTTATAATCCCACACACTGGGATTACATTGTTGCTTATGGGCCTTTACATGCCCATCACTAGCCTTGCCAAAATTCCATTTTTGGCTTTGTCCAACTCGGGTAGACAGTCCTCTCCTGTCTCCGCAACCTTGGACATTTGGATAGCACCTTCTATCCATCATTCGCTAAGGACTTAGTCCCTTGGGCTTTATCCATTGCCCTCGCGACATCAAACACCACCTTCTGGTGTTCTAGAGTGTTCGGGTGTCCCAATGATGGCTTTCTTGACAATGAGTATTTCCTTTTATGACATTGACTTACTATATCGCAACACAAGTAACTTATCCCCCGTAAGGGTATATCCAACTTCCCTATGCTATTAAGAAGTCTCGGTTCCTTCTACCCGTTGAACCAGTTATTTTGGACCTCTTGCTTAGTTGCCTCATAGTTGTCAAGTCCTACAACTCATTGTTTGGTGCTTTCACACCTCCATCATTATCTGGGTCACCACACTCCAACTGCATGCTCTGCAGCTTAGGCTATGCCATTCCCATTTCCATTGGGATTCCTTTGGCA